GTCTCTTTCCTAGAAACCCGACAGCGGTCGGTGGCAATGGTATGAAAAAAGCCGGCATCTTTGATTTTGAGTCAGATAAATATAAGGACACATAATTTTTTTTATTGAGGTGCTAGTATTTACACAGAAAATACATTATAAACCGCGCTGTTGCCGTATATTCGTATTAGTTGGTATTAGCAAAGAATATTATTCTTTGGTATTATAGTTAGTTAGGGATAGTATGACTATATATTTCGCATTTTTTTATTAATATTCTGTTGTTACACTGCAATAATACTTTTTATTTTGGATGTAGGAAAATGCTTTTTAATGTTTTAAGCAAAACTGGTTTAATAAATAATAACAACAGTAATAATTTGTTATACCTATTAACACCAAAATTTAAAATCATTTAATATAATTTTTTTTTAAGTAGTAGCAAAATATAAACAACAAATTAGAAGTCCAAATTATTTATATTAAATCCTATTTAAAAATAATATAGTCTCTAAATTTTTTGTGTGGCAACGTTGGTTTATTAAATAATAATAATTACAGAACTAATTTGTTATATTAACAACAAATTTTAAAATCATGAAATATAAACATTTATTAATTTTCTAAGCATGCAGTGTAATAGAAGAAAAATATAAATAAAAAATTAGAAATCAAAATAATTATATATGTGTATTACTTTTTATTACTTTGTATTAGTATTTAAAAATAATATTTGCTTTTACTGGCATTTACTTTAAAAATAAATAAAATATTTCTTCGCAAAAATCTACATGTAAGAGAATTAGCATAAACAAAATACAAATATCGTTAACTTTTTTTAAATTGGCACGTGTAAAACTTTAATCAATCAATTTAATTTTCCCATCCCAAAATTTGAGTTCGATAACCATTTACTTAACCACATTACCACATTACTTAAATATGATTATTAAGTTCAACTAATTCATATTACTAAAACATCTAAAATACAAATACATATGTATTTTTAAAATTAATTGTAAGTTCACCTCATCTCTCTTAAAATTGTTACTTCTCAAAATTTCCCATTAAAAAAATAGACCATATACCGTATAAAATTAAGTAATTGAAAGATCGGAAAATCACACAAATTTTCAGAAAAATTTTGACCACCTGCACACGTACACAATCATCAATTTAAAAAAGCACTATAAAGTAGTAGTGTTTTAAATATTTTAATAAACGCAAAAATAGCACAGTATTTAGAAGGCAAGTTATAAAAATTTGGAAGGACTAATAATGCACTGACGCAGACAAAAATCAAACGAATACTAAATTTCATTTATAAAAAGCATTCGATAGTCGTGGCTTAACGATAATCATTTAGTCGCACGGCGAGGTTGTCACATATGCTTTAGTATACAAATGAATGAATGATTTTATTCGAATGAAACCATTCGATAGTTGAAATCATTCATTCAGTAACCATTCGATAGTCTAATTCATTCAATAGTTCCCATCGCTAATTAATACTATAAAAATTCGAAAAAAAAAATTCCGAACACCAGAATTTAGTTAAATGGAGAGGTCATCAAGCAGGTCACACAATTTAAATATTTGGGATGCATGATCAACCAAACGTGGGAACCAGATCAGGAGATCAAATGCTCTGATGAAGAAGAAAAAGATGAACGCCTATACGCAGAAATCTGCACGACACCTTAAGAAGAAGTTTATTTTTTATCTTGTCTGGCGCCCAATACTTTTAGTTTCAGTGCAATTTAATTTCCTTCAATGAAATACAAACGAACCCGTGACTGCTCTGTTGATGAAAAGCTGCCGTACGCAAGGAACAATATAGTTTTTTAGATAATATTTTTTTCATAACTATCTGCTACACCTTCAATAACTTTCAAACGAGTCGATTAAATGAAAAATCATATCAGACATTTTTTGAAGACCATTCAATTTCCTAGAAGGATATGTATTGTTTTTTACAATACGCTGATTGGTTAAACGCAATAAAATTTCGTAAAACAAAAAAAATTATGATGAGACACCTCTTAATATTAAAATTAAGATCTGAAACTTTACCAGAATTTTTTTTTCGTCATCGTGAAATATATTTTCACGGTAACTTTTTATTTGGTTCGGCCTAATATGTGGAGTGGTCAAAATTAAAACGGATCAATCCATTTTCCTGCTATTTTAGAATAATCTTCTTTATACGTTTATAAAATATTGTTTTTCTCAGTAGAGAAACGAATCAAGTCATACTTCACGCATTAAGCAGCTATAGTCTGTTTCTCTTTGGTTTCTGAATATTCTGTTGATTCCTTTTAGAAATGAATTGGATCAGGTCCATAAAATTTAACACTGTGCGCAATTTCAACACACGTGCTAAATTTTAGAGCTAAAAAATCCTTTTTTTGATAAAATGGATGACAATGAAACAAAGTCTGAACAATTTACGTCAAGTGAATCAAATTACCAGCCATATGAAAGATCTGATTCTATAGATTCTGAAAATAGAGTTTGATTTATCATTATGTTCACTATTACTACATCACATGTTGTTGATCTGAATAAAACTACACGAGGAAGAAAAATCTTATCATTTCATATAGACGTAAAGTAACAATCTCTAAATGGCAACCCATGAAAGATTTTCTTCCCTTTATCGCGCATATACAGGGTTGTTCACCACATACGACACGGAGTATTGTAGCTAAACGATGAGATTTTTACAAATTATAAGTTTTGGGTTCGATGAAGGACTATTAGAGGTACAATTTAAAAATAATTTTACAAGATACAGAGTGTCCCACATAAGTAAAAAATATCAAAGTTGTATTTTTTTAAATGAAACACCCTGTATATTATTACATTTTTAGTTTCTACGATTAAAATAAAGGTAAATTTGATTAAGGTTTATTATACTTAAACCTTACCGTTTTTGAAATATTTTCAATTTTGTGAAATTGCAGCAAAAATTTTAAGGCTTCATTTCTCCAAGGGTATCAATGTTTTTAATACTAAATATTTAATGAAGTTTATTTATTGATCAGTTATTGTGTTGCAATAATAAAAATAATACTACCTTATACAGAGTGTCTAAAAATTTATTTTAAATAATTATTAGTTTCAAACGGCTATAACTTGTTTAATTTAAATGGAACACCCTGTATATTTTGAGAGAATCAGATGCACAATTTAATTGTCTATGAAATTATATTATACCATTTTTTACGTATCTCTTTAAGTTTCCGTAGAAAATGCATTTTCTTGTAATTTAGAACTTATTTATCAATATACCCATGGAATATTAACATTTTAGATTATTTTTAGGGATGTACCAAATTTTTAAAGAGTACAGATACTAATTTTGTCGATATAATTCGTTTATTTCATTAAAAAATAAAAAAAACTGTTTAAATATTTGTTAAAGAGAACCAATTAATATGATTCCAGTATTCAAACTACATTAACTGACTGTTTGCGTTGATTAATAATAATTGCTCCAAATACTAAAAAACTGAATTTTGTATGGGTATTAGACAGTGTGATAAAAAGTAACACCTTAAAAATGATATTTCATTTTTTAATAAATGCTTATTTATAACAACAGAGACTTTAATTTTGATAACTTATTATTATATTGATTTCTGACTCAAATCCACATTTATTTATAATAATTTATTAACGAACACAATTAAGTATGTAATTAATTAGTATATGTGCGGAAATAATGGTGTTATATGTAATTACTGGTATACTCTTTTATAAATATTTAAATAGTTTTCTTTTTGCATACAAATGGGCTAGTAATATTATCTTTTTTGCTAAAAACGATAATATTACTAGCCTGTACATTTTGTACATTTGTTGCTTTAAAAACAATCTAAAATGTCAATATTCCATGGATATATTGATAAATGATGTCTAAATTATAAGAAAATGCATTTTCTACGAAAACTTGAAGGGATAGGTAAAAAATGGTATAATACAATTTGATAGACAATTAAATTGTGCATCTGATTCTCCTAAAATATACAGGGTGTTTCATTTAAATTAAACAAGTTATTGCCGTTTGAAGCTAATAATTATTTAAAATAAATTTTTAGACACTCTGTATAAGGTAGTATTATTTTTATTATTGCAACACAATAACTGATCAGTAAATAAACTTCAGTAAATATTTAGTATTAAAAACTTTTGACCCTTGGAGAAATGAAGCCTTAAAATTTTTACTGCAATTTCACAAAATTGAAAATATTTCAAAAATGGTAAGGTTTAAGTATAATAAATCTTAATCAAATTTACCTTTATTTTAATCGTAGAAACTAAAAATAATAATAATATACAGGGTGTTCCATTTAAAAAAATACAACTTTGATATTTTTTACTTATTTGGGACACTCTGTATCTTGTAAAATTATTTTTAAATTGTACCTCTAATAGTCCTTCATCGAACCCAAAACTTGAAATTTGTAAAAATCTCATCGTTTAGCTACAATACTCCGTGTCGTATGTGGTGAACAACCCTGTATACCATAATTTTATAAAAATCGAAGAAAGCACTATTAATAGACAAAGTGAAGTCAACAAATCTCTTAATGACGAAGAAGAATGTACCGATGAACCAATTTATATCTAAAATTTCAAATATTTTCAGAGATAAAATGGTTCAAGTCCAAAAAGTTATAAAAAACATTTTTAAAAATGACCACAGTTGTATTTTGAGTTACTTTAATTTTAATTAAGCTGAGCTTGTTTAATTTTAATTAAGTAACATTAAAAAACTTACATTTAATTAACTCTCATTTTCTCCATAATTATCTTCGAGGACTTGATCCAGTTCTCTTCGGAACCCCTCAAGTATTGATGGTAAATTTTCTGAAAATACGTACGGTAACAATTTTTTACACTTTCCAACCTCCAATTTTAATCATGGGGGGCTGGGTGGTGACTGCGCGGTGCCTCCAACCCCCCATTTTCACCCAAACAACCCCAAAAAAATAAATCCTAACTTTTCTGTTCAGGTTAAGAAGCGAGGCACCACAAGTCAACAGTCACCACCCAGGAACAACCCTCGAATCACCACCAGTATCAGTGTTAGTGTAGTTTAAGTGCATTCAGTGTCAATTTTCGATAACATCTCGATGCAGTGACCGAACAAGAGATAACGGTACAAAACTGAACGATGGAATTAGTGACTTAGAGTTAGTAGAATGCAGTAGAAGTTCGTGGTGTGAAGAATTAAGAAGGATTTTGGGGGAAAATGGCTCCGATACCAATAATCAACATGGAGTTCGGCGAGCTGAAGGAGGTGGTGTGGGCTAAGTTGCAGGAGCCGCATCACCAGCGGAAGCTGGTGTTGGTGATAGTCTCCATAGCCCTGTTGTTGGATAACATGCTTTATATGGTTATAGTACCAATAATTCCGGATTACTTGAGGTGAGTTGTATCCCAATCTTATAAAAAACTAAGAAAGGTTGCTTGCTATGAAAAGTTGTACAAATTTGTACTGTTTTATCATTTGAAACTATAATTTTAGACTTTTTTATTCATCGAAACAATAGTATTCTTGAAATAACTAATAGTTTCTTTAAAAGAGACAAGAAAACTATCAAAAAATGCTATATGGGTATTTCGCCACTGCAAGAAAATCTACAAAATAAAATAGTTGTTTTTTGTAAACTGCGTTAATCCAAACGGAAACTACTTGTCAGAAGTTAGGTTTACAGATATACAAATTTGCCTAACGAGCAAAAAAATGCTTAACGTTTCGGAAAGTTTATGTCTTTCCGTCGTCGGAAGCAAAAAAATACAAAGAATGAGAAAAAAAACTATTTAAATTAATACGAATTAATAAATTAATAGTAACGAACGTATAATTTTTAAAACAGATACCTCTACCCACAAAAACCGTTGACGTTCTGTTAAAATGACATTATATAGTCTATAAAATGAATAACTTTGAATTTTGACCGTTATTTTCACCAACATGGCAAATACAAAATCCCTCTGTCAAAAAAGTTACTGATATTCTTTAAATTGAGTGCCTGAACTAGCCTGAACGAATCAGATAGGTAACTCTTTTTACTTTCGTGAAATAGAAAAGGAAAATAATAAAACAAGTGACAAATGTCATAATTGACAAAAGTAAAATGTCATCAGCTTTTGACATTTCTAAATATTAGACCAATGCCGTCTCTATTAGAACAGCCACGGAGCGAGATTTATGACGTCACGCTAGTTAGATAATACGGATTAATAAATATGTTGGAGAATACATGGAAACATAATTATTCCTCGTATTTTTGGTTTGTATTTTAAAAATGATATAGTTTACATGAAATATACATAATATACAGTTAATAAATACAATATAATATATACCTATTTATTGTAATAAATACTTTGGCTAATAAACATGAACCATACAAATGCAGCAAATGTTTTACAATATAAAAATAATGAATAGGTGGTACATAAGATAATGGGTAAAATGTAAAATATATTTTAAATTTTGGGGTTCGAAAATCAATCTAATTTAACAAAAAACATTCAATATCTACTAATAGTGATGTATTATTATTTGCATTCACAAAATTTATTTATATATTATAATATTTACTGCAATTAATAAACTAATATAAACTTGTCAAAAGATGACCACATATTTTTTTAAATTATTATTCTTAACACAAAAACTATCTACATTGACTATGGAGTACGATTTCAGTCATATTGTAAAACATTTGCTGCATTTGTATGGTTCATAGTTTATCTGCCAAAGTATTTATTAATATAAATAGGTATATATATATTGTATTTATTAACTGTATATTATGTATATTTCAGTAAACTATCATCATTTTTAAAATACAAACCAACAAATCGAGGAATAACTATGTTTTCCATGTATTCTACAACATAGTTATTAATCTGTAGTATCTAACTAGTGTGACGTCACAAATCTCGTTCCAAGGCTGTTCTATTAGAGACGGCATTGCGTCAGCATGGCCGCAAGTTGGTAACCTAATAAAATTAACACTAGAAAAGCCCGCGGAAACTGTCAAATTCAAAGTTATTCGTTTTACAGACTATATCCAAGTTATACTTCAAAAATTAAAAATTACTACCTGATAACAATTCCTTAATAAGGTAAAACCAAAAAGCCTCAAACTTTCTGTATGATTATTTTTAATTTTTACGTATGTTATATTCTTTAAAATTAAAGAAGCCATTGCCATACATTACTAACATCTACAGATTCATGAGCAATACGTTTATTTTTATTAGATTGTGTTAAAAAAGCCTCTTTTATTTTTTTAGAAGTTATCGCTTCTTTCATTATAATTTTGGCGTTGTTAAAATTTATTCTGTGTCCTGTGTCCCATGAATAGTCGTAAATAGACTTTTTAAAGGTCTATTCACGAAACGGCAGCCAGTTCTTCACGACGATATTCTCGGTCGGGGAGTACACAAGAAGTGATGCAAGGATCCGATTTCCTTCACAAAATCAGATTTCAACCGGAAATCTCCCTCCAGGATATAGATAGAGAACTATATATCTTGACTAGTCCAACTCACAAAAAAGCCTTAAATAAAAAATGATGTTCTAGAATATTTTCTCCTCAGCCATATTCCATATCCGGTCAATGAACGAACTAAACTCAGAAATTCCACAATTAAAAGAACGAATTGCACACTGCGATCCACATCAAAAATAACCAATTTAACTACGAAATTTTTTCTGATAATTATAAAATTTCAATAACCAAAACAAAGGACAAATAAATCCAAAAACATCTGATTTGATCTGACAGTGACAAGTGACGGGCAGGCGATGATCAAAGATATAGAGAGATGGACAAAAAGCCTACTGCTGGTCGGCATCAGTGACAATATATGTATAATATCGCGGTGTATATCGGGTTGCATAATCGTAAAATTTAAATAAAATAATATTTAACACTAAAATTATAGTAAACATGATGCAAAAATAATAGCTATTTGCGATATTTTATGAGTTAGCACACAGAGGTCGTTGCGAGGAAATTTGACTGTTACAAAATCGATTAAGTTTTTCTCAAATTACCTAAAATCGGCTTGTCCAAAATTGTTCAAATTTGGCATGTGTGTTTACCAAATGTAGACCTTAAAAAAGTCTATTTACGACTTCGCTATAAAATCCATAGGAGAGCCAATATCTGGACAGTTGGTATATATCCTATACTCTAGATGGCAAGCAACCTTCTTAGTTTAATGATACTTGAGTTGTACCAATTTAGGGGTATATTATGGAGTGTAATTGTGTTGTTTTTGACGTTCCAGGTATATAGGGGCTTACACTGACGATCCCATTCCGGGAAACGTGACGTTGCCTCCCGGGACACCTTTCAAACACGACCACCATGGCCAAGACTCAGCCACAGGCATCCTCTTCGCTTCCAAAGTGAGTAACAACTTAAATCTTTGTAGAAAACTTGCTACTCAAGACTCTGGCTATCCTTTAACTCCTTAAACTCCTTTTATAACAATATTTCTATTGTTGATCACCAACGAGCAATGTTTTTAAAATACAGTTTCATTTGAACTGAATATGACCCCGATGAACAGTTGCCTGTATGTGATTAGAACAACTGCAGTATGTCTAGGTACGATATTAAAGTCCGTTTTGCTATATTCCCGAAAAGTAGCAAAATAAGCGTTCGACATTTAACGTTTTATGTTAAACTGGCTAGGTATTTTTACACAAATGAAGAAGGAAATTAAAGATAAAGGATTATACTATCATCAGAAATTAAAGATTAAAGGATCATACGTCAAACATCAACAAAATATTCCTTTTGTTTGGAATATATTTTCTCGAAAATAAAGACATAATTTAAAATTCCGTTATATTACGAAAATAGATTGAAGTTTTGTGGTTGTAGTTGTGTATATATCACTGTAGAATTTAGAATTTAGAATGAGTGGAGGGGTTAATCACTGCGACCTTACAGATCCATTGTGTCCCCTTTCTTGAGTCATAACTCATCATACAGTCCCAGGGCTTTGACAAAAGCCGTATCTGGGACGGTTTTATAGAGGGTAGTTCTCCATCTCCAATATCAGTCGTACCAAAGTTCACGGCACGAATGGTTGTCGTCTCGGCGCACTCAATAATGAGGTGTACTGGTGTTTCCCCATTTTCCCCACAGAATCTGCATTCGCCCTTTCTTCTTAGTTTCAATCTACTGAGGTGTTCATTGAGGAGACAGTGTCCTGTTAAAAACCGCGTGACAATCCGAAGATTGTTCTTACTTAAACCCAGGAAGATCTGTGATTTTTCTTGATCATAAGCCCTTAGAAACTTCTTCGAGTATCTTAGACCGTTGCAAGATTCCCATTCCAGGTTGCGGACGGAATCTTCCAAGTTCTTGAGTTCCGCCTTGAGTTGGTAACCACTTGGAAAGCAGAACGGTTCTGGTCCAGTTAGTGAAGTGTTCGCTCCTTTTCTAGCTAGATCATTTGCATTTTCATTGCCTTCTATCCCTTGGTGAGCAGGCACCTAGAGTAGGAGGACTTTGTTTTTTTTACCTAATTTATTTAGCTTCTCTATGCATTCTTTGACCAATTTCGAGTTGATTGATACTGAGTTGATCGCTTTTAACGCTGCTTGACTATCAGATAAGATGGCTATTTCTTGTTTCCGATAGTTCCTATCTAAGATAAGTTGTACGCATCTTTCGATAGCGTAGATTTCTGCCTGTAGGATGCTAGGGTAAGTGCCCATTGGTTCGGAGTATTTAGCTCTCGGCCCAAACACTCCGATCCCTGTTCCCGTATTGGTTTTGGAAGCATCAGTATACCAAGTTATGGTATGGTCTTTTAACTGCTGGGCAAGCGTTTCGCTCTTCCAATTCTTTTTATTGCTCAATACTACATTGAGATGCTTCTCAAAGTTGTACGTTCTTGGCATATCGTCCATTGGGAGTTGCAGGAGTGGTATTTCCTTTATAAGGGTGTTCCAAGCCCCTGATCTGACAATTCTCCCAGTACTAATTCCGTTAGTGACCATTCTAATCATTGTCGCATTGGCATATCTACCAATGACAATGTGCAGTGGTGTTAGATCTAGAATGACCTCCTGCTTGCATAGGTTTAGCCTTGCCGTCCGTTGCTCTAGTTTTGTGTACCAGGCAACTGGTCCATAAGTAATCATGGGTCTTACTATCATGGTATACATCCAGTGCAAAATGTTAGGGGAGCAGCCCCATCTATTTCCGGCCAGTCTTCTGCATATCATGAGAGCCTTTATAGCTTTGCTGGTAGTGTTCTTAATATGTCTGTTCTACAGGAGTTTACTGTCCAGGGTTATTCCCAGATTTAACTTCCTGTGTTGGCAGTATTTCCTTTCCATCTAGTTGGATTCTTTTCAAGTTTTTCAGACTTCGCTTTCTGGTGAATGGCACTATCGCGGTTTTGTCTGAGTTGATACTCAGCCCGACAGTTCTACACCATCTCTCAGTGATACGGAGTCCTCTTTGGATAATATCACACAAGGTGCCTTCATGTTTCCCCCGAGCGATCATGACTATGTCATCTGCATACCCAATGCAGTGTATTCCCGCTAGAGTTATATCACTGTAATATAATTTATATGGTTTTGTAACAAATCTCTCTCTATTTTATGTCAAATGCTGAATCTCTGCAAACCTTTATCAAGCCTTAACCGAAGCACGTATGTTTGGAATTTTGGGTGTGGATTAACACGGCAGAATGGGGCTAAGAGTTAGGCAGATTACTGAAATATAATATATATTTCCTTCGACCACACACCCGCTTTACCCGACCACTGAGAGCAACTCGAACAGTTCAGGGTAATATACTCTTAAGGATCTTAATATAACTAGAGTTTTATTAAGAGTAGGTAGCCTTGTCTGTTTCTAATAGCTTACAGGAAAATCTATTCCATGTTTATGCTGTACTATACCAGTCCTTATTCCTTCCAACATTCTTGAGCCATCAATCAAGCTGTAAACTTTAGTCTTAACTACTCAACCTCGCTTTTGCTTTGTGACAATACCTCTCTTTATTCCAGGCCATCGTCCAGCTCATGATCAACCCGTTCTCCGGAGCCCTCATCGACCGCATCGGCTACGACATCCCCATGATGATCGGCCTGTGCATCATGTTCCTGTCCACGGCCGTCTTCGCCTGCGGCCGCAGCTACGGGAGTCCTCTTCTTCGCGCGCAGCCTCCAAGGAGTCGGCTCGGCCTTCGCGGACACCTCCGGCCTGGCCATGATCGCCGACCGCTTCACAGAAGAAACAGAGCGCTCCAAAGCGCTGGGCATAGCTCTGGCCTTCATCAGTTTCGGCTGCCTGGTAGCCCCACCCTTCGGAGTGAGCGCTCTACCAGTTCGCGGGCAAGGAAATGCCCTTTTTGATCCTGGCTTTTCGTGTCTCTACTCGATGGGTTCATGCTCTTGATCGTGATGAAGCCGTTGAAGGCTCAGTTGAAAGACGCGCAGGTCAGCAAGCCTCCGTCGGTTCCTATTTGGAGATTGTTCATGGATCCGTACATTGCTGTTTGTTCCGGAGCTCTAATGATGGCGAACGTAGCTCTGGCGTTCTTGGAACCAACCATATCTCTTTGGATGGAAGACAACCTTACGACGGACAACTGGAAGATCGGAATGGTATGGTTACCGGCGTTTTTCCTCATGTTTTAGGTGTAATTATTACGGTAAAGATCGCAAAAAAGTATCCTCACCATCAGTGGCTTATGGCTGCAGTAGGACTAGCCTTGGAAGGGCTATGCTGTTTTATAATACCGTTCTCTACAAGCTATGTGGTCTGATGATACCGCTTTGCGGAATATGCTTTGGAATCGCCTTGATAGACACTGCATTACTTCCAACCTTAGGATACCTAGTAGACGTACGATATGTCTCAGTTTACGGAAGCATCTACGCTATAGCCGACATCTCCTATTCCGTAGCATACGCAATAGGTCCTATAATAGCGGGAGAAGTCGTAGAAGCTATAGGCTTCACAGCATTAAACGTAGGGATAGCTCTTTCAAACCTAGCATACGTGCCATTACTCTCCTACCTAAAACACATCTACGACTTCAAGCCCTTCGAAAACGAAGCCAATATCTTGATGTCAGACCCACCAAACAAGGAGTACCAAACTTACTCAATGCAAGAACAGAAAACCGTAGAAGAAAACGTACAAAACCACCTGGAATACCGTCAGCAAGAAACCAAGTTCGACGATTACGAGCCACAAAGCTACCAGTACCCGGAGCAGAATCAGTCGTACCAGAACCAAACGTACCAAGGACCTCAAGTACCTCCTAGACCTGTCCAAGGTCAAGGGAGGGTGTTACCTCAGCAACCGGCGAATCCTTTCAGGCCGCAAGGGCCACCTACGATGTCCACGGGAGGCAACCCTTTCAGGCAGGGTATGTAGATTAAGAGAATTCGTACTTAGGAGTGAACTAGGTAAAAGAAAATGAATGTAGTTATATGAAAATTTAAAGTTTTTTGTATATATAGGTATTTTATAGCCTGTGAGACAGAAATCAATTTTATTATAGTCATTTCGCGATGTCTGATACCTAAAAAAGAATTTGAATGTATGGTAGACAATGGTTCAGTATTGAAACTAAAAGATATAACTCCTAAAACTACTGAACTTATAGAGGGTGTCCCAGGCTGAGCGTGCATTAGAAGGTTCTAGAGAACCACAATATCTAGATCAGAGATTATTTCTAGATTCTTTCTTCCACATCAAGAAAAATGTACGTTTTCAAACTAAATCTTAAATAACTTAAAAACGATTTATTTTAGGTATAGGAACATGTATACTCAAAAAGTAACGAATTGGAAAACCGTTTTACTAGTGAAATAAAAAAGTGGGTTTCCATTTGAAAAAAATGATTTATGATAATTTTTAATCGCTCAATTCCATGACAGCTACCGCCATTATTATATGACATTTGAACAATTTAATTTTTGAAATAAATAGCCACGTGTCTTCTCTTTACACAGTGGCTGTGGTAATCACTAAATTTGACTTTTAGGCTATACAAATTTTTTTGACAGGTAGTTTTTTCGTCCAAAAATTTTAAATATTTTTTTTTCTCAAAAACGGTTAATGGTAAACAGAGAGTGTTTAATATCAAAATTCATAAAATTTTACAGAGAATTTAAGTATGTAATAAAAAATGGGGGCGCGCATTTAAAATAACAATGTTGCTGTCAACTTCCGCCAGGGTTCGGAAGTAGTTAATTGAGACGTAATTTACCTGATTAACTACGTGTAGTTTTTCTTCAAAAACTACGTCTTTTCCCTTTCATTAACTACATGAAAACTACGTTAATAAGCTATGTATTGATATTATGAATAATTTTCCTTTGTATGAGGTGTAATAGAGATAATATGGTGTAAATATTATATTTAAAGCCATATTTATATTTTTCACATAGCTTTTTTCACAAGCTTCAACTTATTAAAACCTCACCACAAACCTTTGATATTTGAAAGTTACATACATAAGTTACATAAACTACACCCTCTATATAAACTACATTAACTACATGTAATGTAGTTTATGTAGTTTTTAAAGGTAACTTGTAGTTTTCCGAACCCTGACTTCCGGTATTTCCGGAAGTGCCGCCATATTGAAAATATTTTTAATCGATAGATCTCGTTGTGAAACAATGATGTGCAAAAAATCTCCGATGTAGATATTGTGGTTCTCTAGAAACTTTAGCCTGAGACACCCTGTATACTAGAGCCGAGCATTCACATGCTCGGAGTCAAGCATGAGGTTATCCATTGAGAATACCTTGGAATACCTACATTGGAGCATTGATAAACTAAACTGTATATGCGAGAAGGTAACTTTTGATGAAGTTGGCATATGTTAAAAATAATCTGTTGCAAACTTTGTTAATAAAAAAATCTGACTTTCAGGCTAAAAATTAATTTTTTTATTGTTTAATATAAGGGTAAGATCAAAGAGGTTAAATACTGTGACTCAATACTTAAAATATATGAATTTTCTTGAAAAAAAAAAGTTTTTGTTGATGGTTTATAATTCGTTTGAAACTAAAGAAGATTTAAACAAACTTTTGAAAGCTATAGGTCTTTTTATTCTTTTGTTGTTAGGATTAGATTTTACTTTTTATAACTGAAGATACTTCAAAACTCTTTGATCAATATAATTCCATGGTGTGGTTACGGGTAGATTTAAATAGTTATAATCTATTCACCAATACAATTAAGGTTTTCCTATATTTTTTGGAATTAAGATGAGATTGAATAAAACAAGGTAATTCTAGAATTTTCTACTATCTCTCTTTCGAAAAAGTTGAAGTCCGTTAAGAGAATAAAATAAAACAAAAAGCCAAGGAATGCTAAGAAATCCGCACTTTTATTTTTATTTTGCGTCCGCACTTACCAGCGTAATTTGAAAAGCGGCAACACGGCCGGTCCACCATGCTGACCCACCTCCACCTCCACACAAGGCCTTTCAACCTGTTCCAATATGGCGGAGATAGAAGTGCTATATTTGGCGCGGCCAATTTTTAAAACCTGTTTTTTTTTTTTATTTCCAAATAGACATTTTACACAAATGTCAGGTTAGATTACGTAATATTTCACTAACTTTTTAATGAAGTCTAAAAAGGAGAGTTCTCCACATAAAGGTATGAAATTTTTGTGTGCTTTTGCCAGAAACGTCGGTTGGTTATTTTTAAAATGGTCTGTTTTCTCAGAAAATGGGTAGTATTAAAATATTCAAAATAAAAAAAAAAAAAAAAAAAAAAAAAAAAAAAAAAAAAAAAAAAAAAAAAAAATATAGGTATTATAAAAAAATAAATATATAATAATATAAACTAAATATTCAGTTACAAACCCTTACCTACCATAGTTTAGGATTTACTGAACGTTTGATTAATATATACTATTATGGACAGTATATAGGAAGTTACTTGTCTTATTAAAAGCCCAGCAGTACGTCTCTTGGAATTATAATTCTACTGGCGAGGTAAAAATATAGGAATATTTTTTCTATGTTTCGCATCATTACACAAATGGAATAAATTTAAACTATAATAGGTGAGGATGAAATAAAATATATTATGTGTTTCAAGATTTTATATAAAAACTAAATACCTTTTTGGGGTTCGTAAGTAAAACTTACGCTTAGCTTAGTTTTCTTTAATCTTTCTCTTTACATAGGACATTGTCTTTGTGGTAAAGACGTCATTCTTTTTTTTGCTTAGTTCTTCAATAAAAATATTGGATATTCTGAACAAGATGGATTTAATAATAAATTCGACATATTGAGGCAATTGTGACCCTAAAGGGACTTGTCAGGCCATTTTATGTTTTCAAATATCAATGTGTCAGAAATATCTCATGATCTTTTTGATGTAGCTTGATTCTTCTTGTCTTTTGTATAGTGGGGTAAATTAGAAGCGGTAATATAACTACCGCATCCCTCACTGGAGTGGCTCCCACAGAGACTTTGGCCTTTGGCCTTTTTGAGGCATATTTATTGCACTTCTTATCCGAGAACTACTAGTAGGGGTGAAATTATCTCTTTTAATATCTGTCAACCAATTTTTATGAAGCTCGTCATTTTAGAGATATAAAGCAGAGCATTTGGGACCTCTTATGATTCCCGTATTGATTTGGACAAGGAGCGTAAAGGCGTACTACAATAAAATGTTAATACCTATCTTTTTATTATACCTATCTCTAATATTTTTTTAATTTATAAAGAGGTACTATACGGACAGCGGTGAAGGGTTTTTACTCATTTAGGTGTAATATCTTGATAAATACTTTTAGTTCTTACCTTAAAATAATTAATAATAGAGGGGTACGACAAGCACAAAAGTTTGAAGTTCCCTATGTGGAATGTCTAGTTTGGATTTTGGCTTCACACTTTATTATTTTTATCACAATTTTTCTGATCACACCATGCTGAACACTAAGAACTAAACAAACGTGTTGCAGAGGCACAACGAACTAGAGATAATTAATTATTTCTGAATCCACAATCCAAGGAACAAGGGAAACCACAACTGGCTTTTCAGGTTAAAGGAAAACAATTTAATAATGCGCTGCCTTCGCTGCCATATTTGCCTTGCGCATATCATGTTGATTGGCCTTGAGTTGTGGTGGTGCTGGTCAAATCAAATAGCAATGTTGCCAGTTGTTTGCTGGCGCACGAGCACGGCGCTGTAATGTGATTGGACGTATTTACTTTCATACAATCATCAATTGGCACTAAAATTATTTCAAATTAAAGCAATTTTGAGGGCCTATGAAAATTATTCAGTGTCCTTGGAACTATTTTTGGATAAATGTACTGAAATAGTCTTTTATTTCAGATTTTATTGTCCATGAATTGGGTATTTTATTTTTTGTGAAAGAGCTAAAGGATTCTAATAAGGCTAAGTAGTAGTAGTCCATATTTTGTACAAAGATGTATAAAATTACGTTGTTGTGTTTGAGAGAAATTTTTGAGTGTAACTGTTTTCAAAAACAATTCAATTATAGACCAGTTCTTACATTTTCTATATATAGGAAAATATATCAACTGAGATCGCAAACATATCAGAGCTTTCAAGCTCACGTTCTATACATATCGTGATAATAGACTTAAGTTTACTGTAAAATAGTTACTATAAATAGTGTATGATTCTCTGTCCGACATCTGAGACAGATAGATGTAAGCTTTGTAGAATATATACCTTATAAAAACATCGAAAAAGAGTGTGGTAACTTCATCAGTATCGACAAATACAGAGTAAACCATTATTACACGAAATCCTTATGCAGAATTTTACGTTAGGATTTTGCGTTTTATTGGTTGCATATCTAGTATTAATTAGCTAATTTTCAGAGAGATTGTATCCTGACGTTTCACACATATCATAATAGAATTAGCCCTGCCCATTGTGGGACAACGTTGTTACTGTTAATGGATATCTGAAAATATAAGTATTCCTTAGAAATAAACAAACTATCTCTACTGTTAGTTCAGACTAAAAAAGAAGTATTATATTTATTTTTTCTTTAAATAGAATTTTCCAAATTATACAAGAACAATTCTATATAGTCTGTGCTTGTACATGCTGAACATTGGGCAACTTTAAAATATCGTGGAAATGATTTTTTGGAAAAATATTTTTTTTTTTTTTTTTTTTAATTAAAAAATGAAAATACAAAGGTAATAGAAATTGGAAAAATAGTTATTTTTTATACAAAAGACGATAAAATACCATTTTATCACGTCGACCAAGATAAAAAGCTCACACACTGAATAGGTATCGGCGAGACTGAGCAGCACAGTCCAGTCGGAAAGTCGATTATGTATACCTGGGTCACTTTGATCGACATGGTCAGGTGCGTCACCAACTGTAATTGAGGCATAGACGAGGG